TCCGTTTTGTGGCTTAATCGTCCTCTGCCTTAATTGTCATTAACGAAACACAACTGACAATCAATGATCGTTCTATAAATACCGTTTGGATAATGTTTGTTTGCTAATATTGACTAATACATATTGTTTAATCGTATAAACGAAACAGGAAGTCGATCAAACAATAAAACACCCTAATATATATCATTAATCTAAATATAGTAGTGAGGACTTTATCATTCTGGTATTAATTGTAACATAACCGTTGCTATTTTGCAGTAAAATGTTATACAACTAAATGATTTTGTCTTAACATTTTACCTATATAATCTATTACTCATTTTACTTATATATTTGTAATTCTGATATATTATTTTGGTATAAATTCTACATAATCCATTTTATTTTATATTAACTATATATTTCAACTCTAGTTCTACACCTATATTTGTAACCAACTCAGGATAATTTCCTTAACAGATGATTTCTAATTAAATATCTAGCAAATAACGCCTGAATGGGCTGCGTTTTTACTGCCGATGTTACTGTTATATTATCAGTGATGTCCGACTGCGTTTTTACGGTCGATGTTACTGTTATATTATCAGTGATGTCCGACTGCGTTTTTACTGCCAATGTTACCGTTATATTATCAGTGATGTCTGACTGCGTTTTTACTGCCGATGTTACATAACAGTGATGTCCGACTGCGTTTTTACTGTCGATGTTAATGTTATATTATCAGTGATTTCCGACTGCGTTTTTACTGCCGATGTTATGTCTGACTGCGTTTTTAGTGTCGATGTTAATGTTATATTATCAGTGATTTCCGACTGCGTTTTTACTGCCGATGTTACTGTTATATTATCAGTGATGTCCGACTGCGTTTTTACTGTCGATGTTAACGTTATATTATCAGTGATGTCCGACTGCGTTTTTACTGCCGATGTTACATAACAGTGATGTCCGACTGCGTTTTTACTGTCTATGTTAACGTTATATTATCAGTGATGTCCGACTGTGTTTTTACTGCCGATGTTACTGTTATATAATCAGTGATGTCTGATTGCGTTTTTACTGCCGATGTTACTGATATATTATCAGTGGTGTCTGACTGCGTTTTTACTGCCGAGGTTATGTCTGACTGCGTTTTTACTGCCGATGTTACTGTTATATTATCAGTGATGTCTGACTGCGTGTTGGAGGATTGGACAACAGAGACTGATGAATGTTCTATTTCTGACCAATCATAATCAGAATCATGTGACGAGCAATTAGCACACAATTACTTTAGAGTATCATTACATTAGACTTTCCACAATATTTAGGTACTCCGTATCTGTTAATAACAACTGATGATCAGAAATAGTGGTCACTAAAGACAGGTGATCACTCATTACAGGGAGGGTTTCTATATAATGAGGCTGTGTATTACAGGCGATCTATCGTGACAGTCCATCATGGCATAGGTATAGTCAAATCTTGACACTGGGGGTCTTTCCTCAGGATGGTTACTAATTTTCAGGAGGCACAAAACACTGACATCACCTACTTACTGGACTCCCCCAACCTAGTCTGCAGATGGTCACACTTATCTACAGATCCCAATCTATATCAGAAGCACAATTGCCTATGGCTACTTAGCTACTTATAATTTTCAAATAAAACTCTAACACTGACCAGGAGCCAAGGCTACTAAAATGCATAGCAAATCATATGTACACTTTGAACAATTAAACGGCTAATAAATGCATAACAGTGACTGTGAAAAACCAATAAGATGTATTAGGGCCGGCATTAAAAAATATGATAGGTTGAGAAACACGAAACACAGCTATATTTTTATTTGGCCTTATGAAGTGTTACTGAAGAGAATGGTTACACAAGACAGTTTGTCAGTTAAGAAGGTTGCCACACAAGACAGGTGGTCACTACTGACAAAGTCTGAAGACAGACGATTTCCAATGACAAGTGATCATCGTAAAGATAAATGGTCTTCAATTATAGGTATTATTATAGAGAAAGATTTAAATGAAGAAAAGAACAGCCCCAGTTTTCATTAGTGGTACACATTTAACTAAAGGGTTTGTTACTCATTCTAAAATTAATATCCTGTACCTTGGGTAATGAATTTAACAAGGCATTGATTTTCAATATCATCAACACAGGCTGGAATCCAATCTCAACTAAAATACCTTAGTATACCCTGTCTTATCTTTCTAATACGACCATAAAAACAAAGTATTTCAATTCCACGTTTGGAGTAATTCTTCAGTCTTGGATCAATTTTCTGTCTAATCAAATACGTAATTACAAATATTCGTGGCCATCAAAGTTTTAGCTAGAATTTGGTTTCATCATTAAGCAGCCGTCTGTCTTGGCTGCGCTATTACGTCCTAAAATTGCAATCTAGACGCAAAGTCCACTCTTGTACGCTTTACATAAATCCACATGGATGCGCACATAAAATACTCGTTTAAGGCCAATTTAATTGAGAGACTGAGCTGCAGTCAGGGTAGCTAGCTCTAGGGCCTATTTCCTGAAATATATCACTGACAATTTTCATCCTAATTTGCATCAAACCAGGTCATAAAGAAACAAGTTTATTTTCAACAGCATATTGAAATTGAGTCATAAAGATGTATTGTGAAACATACCGACCAATAGCTGTAATGCTGTAACATTATTTCCCGTTGTATCAATCGCGATGATAAAGCTCTGTATATTTTCCCCACGACTCCCGTCTCTGTACATTCTATTTCAGAATTTGTGCATCACTCCGCGGTCAAGTGATAGATTTATTGTATTGTAGGCCACTGTGGTCCTGTTTGTATGTTGGTACTGGAGGACAGGTTGTAAGGTGTCAAGTCAGACAATTACATATATACCGTTATAAATTACGCAGCTATAACTAAACAACTTTGACCTATATATTGTCCAATCAAGCATAACAGGTGTCTGTACAAGGATAGGACCTCAACTACTTCAAATAAAAACGTCCAGACACATATATAACTCTCAGATCAAATTCAAGAGAGATAGAAACAGTCTGGGTAATGGGAACCCAATTTTTTTTATTATTTTTTTAAATATTGAACACAAGTTTGTTTAAGGCCAATTTATTTGAGATACTGAGCTGCAGTCAGGGTAGCTAGCACTAGGGCCTATTTCCTGAAATATATCACTGACAATTTTCATGAGAATACTGAAACGATTTTCATCCTTTGTATTCCTCTTACATGTTATGAATAAGTGAGATAACACACAAATGTAATTGGAGCAGAAAATGCACAGACAGACCAGGGTTCGAAACCCCAGACCCGTGGAACTGTAGATAGATGCTCTACCAATTAAGCTACCTTGTCGCTGACGATGGACCAAGTCCAGTTCTGCTACATTCTTCTCTCATATTTTCAATGTATTTGCCCCCTTGAAGACAAAATTATCTACAACCCAGGTTTGGGTAGCCCCTTGCCAAGCATTCACTCAGTTCTTGGAACATGGTTTGGTCACAGGCATCAAATGTAGAGGGAAGAGAAATGCAACAAACAGACCTCTAAAACACACGCTTTACCGATTGAACTTCATGATCGCTGACAATTGTCCTAGTCCAGTTCTGCTACACATGTATGCTACTTAATTGGCAAATTATCCTTTTTCCAAAAGAGCCCAATCTTTGATGATCTATTTATCTTTGACAAATGGTTTGCTTCGAAATTTCCACAAGACTGCATTTAGATGTGTTAATAACACTGTCTCAGAATTATAGGAGTTATTTTCAGTAAGGGGGAGAAAACTTATGTGTTATTTTCAGTTAGGGGGAGATAACTTAGGTGTTATTTTCAGTAAGGGGGAGATAACGTAGGTGTTATTTTCAGTAAGGGGGAGATGACGTAGGTGTTATTTTCAGTAAGGGGGAGATAACTTAGGTGTTATTTTCAGTAAGGGGAAGATAATGTACGTGTTATTTTCAGTAAGAGGGAGATAATGTAGGTGTTATTTTCAGTAAGATGGAGATAACTTTGGTGTTATTTTCAGTAAGGGGGAATTAACGTATGTGTTATTTTCAGTAAGGGGGAGATTACGTAGGTGTTATTTTCAGTAAGGGGGAATTAACGTATGTGTTATTTTCAGTAAGGGGGAGATAACTTCGGTGTTATTTTCAGTAAGGGGAAGATAATGTAGGTGTTATTTTCAGTAAGAGGGAGATAACTTTGGTGTTATTTTCAGTAAGGGGGAATTAACGTAGGTGTTATTTTCAGTAAGGGGGAGATAACTTAGGTGTTATTTTCAGTAAGGGGGAGGTAACTTCGGTGTTATTTTCAGTAAGGGGGAGATAACTTAGGTGTTATTTTCAGTAAGGGGAAGATAATGTAGGTGTTATTTTCAGTAAGGGGGAGCTAATGTAGGTGTTATTTTCAGTAAGGGGGAGATAATGTAGGTGTTATTTTCAGTAAGGGGGAGATAACTTCGGTGCTATTTTCAGTAAGGGGGAGATAATTTAGGTGTTATTTTCAGTAAGGGGGAGATAACTTAGGTGTTATTTTCAGTAAGGGGGAGATAACTTCGGTGTTATTTTCAGTAAGGGGGAGATAATGTATGTGTTATTTTCAGTAAGGGGGAGATAACTTTGGTGTTATTTTCAGTAAGGGGGAATTAACGTAGGTGTTATTTTCAGTAAGGGGGAATTAACGTAGGTGTTATTTTCAGTAAGGGGGAGATAACTTCGGTGTTATTTTCAGTAAGGGGGAGATAATGTTGGTGTTATTTTCAGTACCGGGGAGATAACGTAGGTGTTATTTTAGTAAGGGGGAGATAACTTAGGTGTTATTTTCAGTAAGGGGGAGATAACTTAGGTGTTATTATCAGTAAGGGGGAGATAACGTAGGTGTTATTTTCAGTAAGGGGGGACAACTGAATCATAAACAACAAAGTTAATGAGTGAGGGTGGCTCCTGAAATGAAGTCCTTGACCTTCACCTCGTCATTCATCTCTGGAATTAGAACAGATTAAAGACTCACCTCACTGGCTACTTCTGTGAGGGCTGCTAGGGCCTGCAGTGTCTGTATCACCTCCAGCTGGAACATAGACAGGGGCATTATAAGTAATGGAGAGAGAACAGAAATATAAATATGGACAAATAAGGGCTGGATTGAGTACAGAAATAAGAAAAGTAAAATTTATATATGGGCAAGTACAGAACTATTGAAAGTGACAACTAAGGACTGGCAAATGTACACAATTCTGAACAAGGCCAACAAGAAAGTTTCCAATAACCCTACCTACTCCAGTTTTTGTGCACACCCTCAACTTATTTGGTCAATTTTCAAGGAAGCCCTGTTAAAATAAAGGTTATTATCCTAAATAAATCTATAAAAAATATTCAAAAATAGAATTTATTATCCGTTCTTAACCTTATTTTTTCAGGCAAGTAACAGGAATTCTGGGGAGCAAAAAACATGGACTAGCTAAGTGAGTATAAAATTATAATGGAACAAACATGTATCCAACAGTGTGAACCTTTGGAAGCGAAACGAGATAGGGGAGAAATCTGATTTTTAATATTTTACCAATTTTTCAGACTTAAAAACATTCACATTGTAGCTACATCACCAGACAAAATCAAACCTTGTTTGTACACATTAAGCCAGAGAGACCTGATACAACTGAATTCAGTGCTTCTGGAAGTCTGGTTCTACATTTTAGATGAATGGCGTTTCAACTACTTATCAATAATTCAGAATTTTAAAATCCAATGCGTCATAAACTTGTGAAAATGCTATACATCATAGCGAGTAACTAACAAAACAATCACTCGTCTTTTACAGTCGCAGACAAATAAGTGGGCGGTACCATATACCACTTTAAAATAATAGAATCGGTATTTTATCGGAAAAATGATTATGCTCCAGGTTCCATTTTTTTTTTTTTTATCTTTACACCATGTGAAATGTGCAAACATGACTTTTATTGTTTATAACCATGGCAACAGACAAATAAGTGACTTTTATTGTTCATAACCATGGCAACAGACAAATAAGTGACTTTTATTGTTTATAACCATGGCAACAGACAAATAAGTGACTTTTATTGTTTATAACCATGGCAACAGACAAATAAGTGACTTTTATTGTTTATAACCAAGGCAACAGACAAATATTAGCTTGATAATGTACTTTACCTAAAGCACTATACTCATATGTTATCGTTTCCAATATCTGTCTTGGAAATAAGAAATCAGGCACCATCTTAGAACAATACATGGCATACAATTGTTAATTGTGATTACTTTCTAAGGAATACCATAAGATTTTTTTTTTGCAATACACCATATCTTTATTAAAGATTTTGTTATATTACATTATAGAATATCATTATTGAGGATATTTACAATAAACCATATTATAATTAAGTACACAATACTATTATTGAGGATATTTACAATAAACTATATTATAACTCAGTACACAATACTATTATTGAGGATATTTACAATAAACTGTATTATAATTCAGTACACAATACTATTATTGAGGATATCACAATAAACTATATTATAACTCAGTACACAATACTATTATTGAGGATATTTACAATAAACTATATTATAATTCAGTACACAATACTATTATTGAGGATATTACAATAAACTATATTATAATTCAGTACACAATACTATTATTGAGGATATTACAATAAACTATATTATAATTCAGTACACAATACTATTATTGAGGATATTACAATAAACTATATTATAATTCAGTACACAATACTATTATTGAGGATATTACAATAAACTATATTATAATTCAGTACACAATACTATTATTGAGGATATTACAATAAACTATATTATAATTCAGTACACAATACTATTATTGAGGATATGACAATAAACTATATTATAATTCAGTACACAATACTATTATTGAGGATATTACAATAAACTATATTATAATTCAGTACACAATACTATTATTGAGGATATGACAATAAACTATATTATAATTCAGTACACAATACTATTATTGAGGATATGACAATAAACTATATTATAATTCAGTACACAATACTATTATTGAGGATATGACAATAAACTATATTATAATTCAGTACACAATACTATTATTGAGGATATGACAATAAACTATATTATAACTCAGTACACAATACTATTATTGAGGATATTATAATAAACTATATTATAATTCGTTACACAATACTATTATTGAGGATATGACAATAAACTGTTTTATAATTCAGTACACAATACTATTATTGAGGATATGACAATAAACTGTTTTATAATTCAGTACACAATACTATTATTGAGGATATAGCTGTGTTCAATGCTTGATCAAATTAAAACAAATCTGAGATTAAATATTCATCAATATTTGTTTACAGATATTATTTTAATTGGAATATAGGACAGTTGTTTCCATAAATCACCAAAAATCAACTTTTGTTTGTGATCGATGAAACCTTGATATTTTTAATGTCTGTAAACCAATACTTGACATTATAAAGCATAGGATTCCATTTCACACACAGCAATTGCAAAGAGGAGTTTGTGTATTAACAAAGTTCAGCTTAACATTACAAAGAAGGAAGACAAACAGCTAATTTCTTACCTCATCCCTCATGGGTAAGTGTTTCAAGATGCCCAAAAGTTTGTGTATTAACAAAGTTCAGCTAAACATTACAAAGAAGGAAGACAAACAGCTAATTTCTTACCTCATCCCTCATGGGTAAGTGTTTCAAGATGCCCAAAAGTTTGTGCATTAACAAAGGTCAGCTAAACATTACAAATAAGGAAGACAAACAGCTAATTTCTTACCTCATCCCTCATGGGTAAGTGTTTCAAGATGCCCAAAAGTTTGTGTCGAATTTCCTGTCTCTGTTCCTTGACCTCTGTCCCGATCTGCGGTAGTTGATTGAGTCTCGTTGCTAGGTAACGGACGAGGACCTTCACTCTGTGTTCATAGCCTTGCTCCTGAGCCTTCACTATAGAACCGTTCCCATTGAAAGCCTCATAAAATCTGCAATATACAAAATTTAATATTCATGAGCATCTTTAAACAAAGGAGCATTGTGGGACAGATTTGTTATCTAGCTTTTAAAACTGGTGACAGAGACAAAGGAGTGCCTACAGATTGGCCATACATGTACAGCACTTAAAAATCATTTCAAGTTCCAACTGGAGGTTCGGAGAAGTGGGTGATCTAGAAATACATGTTACTTGTTGCTGCAGGTCAACATCGTAAACTCAACTGCACAAATCTGTAAATGCCTCCAAACAATTCTACAACCCGCCATAAATCTGATCCTCATGTCCTTGTTATATCTCTCAAGAATCAATATATAGATCAAACTGTTAAACTGTCCCTGACAAGAATTGATATTACAACAAACTACCAAATTTTCATTACCAGGAATCGTAGATATAATTCCCTAATTAGCATTTTTATAGTTAGAATCTACAATAGATCAAATTATTTTCTTTAATATTAAGAATTAACAACTTAGATCAAACCCCTTTATTTTCACTCCTAGGTTTCAACACATAATATAATGCGATCAACTTCCCCATTTTTCACTTACAAGAACCAAAATCATAAAAAAACTCCAGGATTGTCCTCAAAAAAATAATTCTGATTCAACACGTATAAAAATGTCATCAACTCCGCCCAATATTCGTCTGCTGGATAAACGAAATACACGGTAGTGAAGCGGACGTAAAACCTATCGATCAATCAATCAATCAATCAATCGCCCAATATTCACTACCAAAATCTTTAAAAAAACTCCTAAATTTTCCGTAAAAAATAATATCCTGGTTTTACTCATTCACCCCTCAAATTTAATTATGAAGTAATTCCAACCTTTGAATTGGAAGATTTAAACTGTGTCTTCAGGGGTGAATAGGTAAAAATACACAAGGATTTTCAATACAGGAATAGGTATAGCTGTCATCCCTTATTTACCATAATGGAAAGAGTCTCTTTGATTCACTGTCTGCTTTATAGTTAGGTGTGATGAATATTCATTATGCATCAATGAATATTCATTAGGTTAAAGCACACACATGTGCGCTTATGTCTTCAATCAGGTAATAAAGACAGCAAGTCAATTATTTTGTAATCCTACAGTATTTTCCAATATACAATGTACATCAAGTGACAATGGTTTCCAAGGTAACCGAAATAAATAGCAAATTAATTCCCCGTCACAGGACTCAATGACACAATGCCTAAGTAAACACTTTTTTCAATATCACATATTATGCAAGCCAAAGGCATTCTGGTAATTGCTAGTCTGATGTTTCTAGGTTTGGTAAGATTTTTTTTTGAGTTTTGGCAATTTACCATATTTCTACATAATAAGCAACCCTTCTCCTTTTTTGGTCCGCAGCATCCAATCCCTTCACCATAACTTATCAACTTAAATAACTCATTCGCCATTGAGGACACATTTAAACTCTTACAACTCGAAGGTTGGAACAGTTCATTATGAAATTTCAGGGGTGAATGAGTTAAAAAGTGTATGTGAGAAGTTTTGAAGTCATGCTAATTGCCGTAAGCTACTCTGAGGTTTTTATCAAGTACAGTTTAGAAATATTATCTAATATTTTGGGGGGTTTGATGAGAAACAGTGCCTTACCCTGGTGTCTTTCTGACAATCACAGCCAAAGGGCCAGTGATATTTGTATACATGCTGGCTAATTCACATTGAATCCTAATTTCAACAATGCTATATTACTGAGTCGGTACTTTTTTCTTTAGAGTAACATACTTGATTATAAGTCAATAAATGGTTATTCTTAATATATATATACACTACAGGGAAACTGTAATCAAAAGTTTAGAACTTTATTTTAAAACTATTATAAGATCAATTGAAAGCACTAAGTTTTAAATATAACAGTATGAGACGCATGCATGGGTATATAGCAATCTGCTATTTTCTCTTTTCTCTATCTTAAAGTATATATTTCATCTATCTGGAAGTATTTTATAAACTACATATATCACAATCTAACAGATTTGATAATCAAATATCATTTACAAATTTTCTATCAACAGTTCGTGAAATAATCCCAAGTTATATGTCTTACGAAGTCCAGTATTATATACCTGAGAGCAAATATCAGTCTTATTTTGACTAATATGCTTCAGTCTAACAGAAATGAACTTCTAAAATCTTCAAATTATAACAAAATGTTACCTGCCCTTTTCTTGTCCCTCTGTATCAGAATGGAGTCTAAGAACACAGTTGATCCGATTCAAACACAAGTTTTCTTTCAATATATAAACTGACTGCTGTGCAAAAGTTTCTACACAACCCAGCTGCATACCCTTATCAGGCTCTCTAGTGATAATCAGGTTAATTAAATCTTATGTCTGCCATATGTTTGCAGGATCAATTACACACAATAAACCATTAAACCAGGAAGACCAGACAACCCAGAAAGCCCTGTCAACCGCACATTGGCCGACACATGGATTACTCAGTGTTTAATCCTCCATCCCATTTCTGAGAAACATACACGTTTTATTTTAAATTCATCTGAAGCTGTGGTTTTCAGAAAACAAATGTGATGTGTCATTTCAGAAAAAACCCGTTGAATTATGATAATTAATTATGCTGACTAATATTTCAAAATTTGTTAAAGTTCTACTACTCCGTAATAACCCACTACAAATCAAACACGGCCCTGTGATTTGTTTACTCCGACCTGTAGTTTGTTTACTCCGGGCAGTTCTATTGTAGTGAACAATATTGACAAACGGGACACTAAACTTTTAACTTTCATTATCATTCATAGAGAGCATACAGGCCCAATGTCAACAGTTTTCAGCTCCTCAGGTAGTTTATTGGTCAATTCTGACCTCCCTGATGGACATTGGTCAGTCTGGGTCGTAAATATTGGCCTTTATCTACAGAATGCTTCCTGATAAGACTAGCACACCTTTGTTAATGAGACAGAAATAAGGAAACAAAGAATTTCCTCTCTGTGATAAGTTCCTGTCCCATTTCTCAACTTTATTTACAAAAGACTTGATGAATTTCATTTTTGTTTGATCTGATCTTTGTTTTTAATAAAAAAAATAATGCATATTGTTTTTAAGTTTTGAACTTGAGGCTACCAATTCTTTGTTAAAATCTTCTTTCACTTTTAATTGATTATGAACCAATTTAATTAATTATGAACCAACCATTTTAACATGCAACATGCTTACAATTTTAGCTTTTAAATTAAAGGTAAATTACTGCACTTCCATCTTGCACCGACATCTAAGAATCTATTAAATATGATTTTGACCGAATTTGGCAAAAGTTTGTCAGCTCAAGTCCAATCTATTCACTCCAATGTAAAAATATTTATTGAATATATTTGGCTTCTTGTGATTTGTCTGAGGCTATATATAGTTATACTGAATGTCAACGACTTTTTCTGATCACTGATGATATTTTCTGAGAAACATCTATATATACACGTTTTATTTTAAATTTATATGGAGCTGTGGTTTTCAGAAAACAAGCATTAACTGATTTTAAAATTGCACTGTTTAATTATAATTACAAGAGACAGGCCAGTACATGTCAACCTGTTTTTTAGTTAGTTTTTCTTTTCATTCTAGTTTCAGCATCGAGTTGATAATATATTACCTCATCAATAGCAGACAGACATTTCTGATGAAATTCCTGTTTAAAGCAAACATCCATCACAGCTCATTAGTGCATAGGGCCAACTTGACTAAAGGAATATTCTACTTGTATTAAGTTTTGTCTAAATCAGATCTGGGTATAATAACGATGACAAGTGTATGTGCGAAATATGGAAGAAATGATGGACGGACAGACACTGGACAGACGAAGGACATATGTTGGTAATGTTACACTATATATATACACAATCATTTGCATGGTTAGGGGCATAAATTGTTGCATTAGTAAGACACATCTATTCCTTGATATACAGCCCTAATTATCAAACTGTCAGCATCCTGCCAGGATGGACAAGATGGATGATGGACGATGGACTGATGGACAGAAGGACAGAATTCCATGGTGATCATGATCAAGGGGCATAAACGAGACAGTTGAATAAGTACCTTACAAAATTCAATAAGACACATCTATCCCTGATACAGCCTTGATCAAACAGTCAACATACTACCATGTACATTTTATAGAATTGTTTACATTCAAAAAGTCGTTTCTGTTAGTTCACAAAGACTAGAAATACACTAGACCTTGTTTAGCATACAGGAACCATTTTGTGTTATATTCCTGACATGCACGCTCGGCCAAACAATCACTGAATTCAAACATTACACATTTGGCACACACCTTCAGGACACTCTTACTAGAATGAGTTTAATGTATAAGTAACAGGCATCTGCTTGTTTTCCTTTCAGATGAACATGTCATAAAGGATCGAACAAATGTCAGTGACTCGTTGTAGTCCCCAGTGTTTACTTAACCACAGAACAACGACTCCCCTATCTAGTCCTTGTATTGAAAAAATAAAGGCAAGAAGGAGAGCAGGTGACATTCCTAAAACATAGAGGGGCATAGTGTGGGGGCACTCCAAAAAAGTAGAGAGATGGGAAAACCCCTACAACATAGGAAGAGCACAGAATAGCCATACTACAGTACAGGAGGAGCAAAGTGGAGGGAGGTCAGGCACTCATTTAATATAGGAACAAGATGGGAGAGCTTTTAAAACAAATTAGAAAATGTCTGTAAGACATGAATGCCTCCATCCCACTTTGATCATGGGACGGGATGGGATGGACCTCGGCAACACACCATTTTATGAGAAAAGAAGGACACTCCTAAAACATAGGAGAAACAAGGGGGCCATCCCGAGATATTGAATAAAACATAGGTGGTAACAAGGATACATCCCTGAAACACTTGAGGAATTTGGGAGGAGGGGGATTCCTTAAACACAGGTGAAGCAAGGAGGTACACCCCTAAAATATACGTGCAAACAGAATACTCTTTAAACATAGGAGGAACAACTTCTCTGAGGAACTTGGGTAAACATCCCTTAAACATAAGCTGGGTTGAAGTACTAGGGCAGTATTTTTATCATTCTGTTGTTTCTTTTGAGAACTATAACTTCTTTTATAGAAAAGTCGACAGGATAATGACATCTCCTGTTCCTAGTTCACGTATGGAGTGCCAACCTCTGAGAGGGACAACTGGGGTACATTGATATAGCGCATACAGCTATCAACTTAAGAGGATAATCAAATAATTGTCACGTAATTCCATACAGTCAGGTTCCAAAATTAGATGACTAATTACCAATACAAATGGTATAAAGTCCAAACTCTGAAACATAATACCAATTTGTTTTTCTATTTACTTATAAGGAAACAAAGATGAATTGTTGATACAAGTGTCTGCTGGACAGGATGAGGAATTGTACCATAGGGCTGCCAATATTTACACAGTCAATACGAGTCCCATTACTGACGAAAGTAATGACAAAATGGTCTTCTTCTGTCAACAATAACTAGAATTTTGTTTTTATATACAATAACTAAAATTTTGTTTTTATATGTCTCCCCTTATTAGCCAACATACAAACTTTGGTATAAAAAAATAACAAAGGGCCATATCTTTTTATAAAGTGGGGCACGAGACCCGAATTTAGAATGTGACACTCCTACTTCCCGAGATACAGTAAAGCTTTAGCAAGTTTGGTCAACGTAGGTGAAATAACATGAAAGTTATGTCGTGGACAAACTTCGGTATTAGAAATAAACAAAGGGCCATAACTCTGTATATAGTTGGGCACAAGACCTAGTTCCAGTGCACTGCACACCTTCTGTAGGTGATGAAGGTAAAGTTCAAGTTTGATTTGGATATCTTTAATGGTTTAGAAGTTATGTCATGGACAAACTTCGGTATTAAAAATAAACAAAGGGCCATATCTCTGTATATAGTGAAGCATGAGACCTAATTCCAGTGCACTGCACACCTTCTGTGAGTGATGCATGCATATCTTAAGCTTCATCAAGATATCTTTAACGGTTTAAAGGTTATGGCCCAGACAAGCTGCAATTAGAAGAACCAGAAGAAAAGGAACCGATACTAATACAATATGTCTCCCTTCATTCGAAGGGGAGATATAATAAAACCAGTTTTGGCCTTCCTGTATAAGTGCAATACCTACAAAAATGTAGCTAAAAAACTTATCTCCTGAGTATCGCCCAAGAAACATCTTTGATGCGAAAAATATGCCACATTGTCAGAAAAATTTTCAAAATTTAGCTCACCTCCTAGGTATATAACATGAAAATATTCAGCAGTGTTCCATGATAAATTCAAATTCAAAAAGCCAAAAAATCACAAATTCACAAAAAGTCTTATCAATATAATGATTTGGAACATGAACAAACTTCAATGGTTATATATACCTACGGTGAATTTCAGAAATAAAACAGTACTAATAGGAAAAGCACAGTTTCAAGAGTTCATATTTATACTTAGCATTCATATTTCGATTTCAACAAATTTTATTGAACAAAAACAATTGAACAAATGGATTAGACAACAGGCTTAGCCTATACAAGTCTTCTCCTAATGTGGTGAAATGTCATTATTTAGACTAGTTCACCTCTGTGTAAAGGAGACGGGGACAGGCCAATGTATGCAAGATGACCTTCAAATTTACCGTGAATCAATTACAAAGAAACAAATTGATCAATGCTGATCATATAAACTGATGTCAGTTCTATAATGGAATACGCTCGTTCTAAACATATCTCAACTGTCTGAGAACCATCCATACCCTGCCCTAATCTCTCATCTCTCAGAACCAATGTGAAGACACCCTACCCCACATACGATTTCAGTTGTGGTCTACTATCTCAATATAGCCTTTCCATCATAAAGGCTCATCTATAAACCAATAATTAACAGCATTGATCAATTTGTTTCTTTGTAATTGATTCATGGTAAATTTGAAGGTCATTTTGCATACATTGGCCCGTCCCCGTCTCCTTTACACAGAGGTGAACTAGTCTAAATATTGACATTTCACCGCATTAACAATCGAGTCCTACCATCGACCTCCTTTTGATGAATCAGTCGTAACTATCACAAACGATACCTAAACACGGTCAATGGAATTGTACAACTTTCCAGCTATCTTGATCCGTCTATCGTTATATTTCTATATAGATTAAACGACAATTTCACACACTGTCTCAGAATTTCTCTTGATACAAAAGAGTCAAATTCTCAAGTACAGTATTGAGAGAAATCATAATTGAACTATGTTCATAAAGAGTTCAAAAGATTGTTCAAATATTAAAACATATTTTGAGCCCTTTTATCTATTTCATTCTGTAATGAAGGTTATTTTTAAAATAGTGTTTGAGTTTAAATAATATGTTATCTAAACTAATAGAAAGGTAGCAAGCCTTCATCTATTTGACTCGGGTACTGCTCGGTCACCAGACAACAGTCGGCCATTCTATCATTATAATCGCAGTCCACCATACAGAATCAGTGTAATTGAATCATTCCATTCTTTAAATAATTTAGTGGCTATAAAAATAATTTAAAAATCATGATGATGCTCATTTATATCAAACAACAAGTATATAAATTTCATGTTTTTACTGTTTTCTTTGCAGTAACACCTTAGATAAACTTTTGCTAGAAACAAAATTGATTTCTGAAGCAGAATTTGCTGAACAGCAGGTTTACATAGTATGAATGCATTTCAGTTTTTACCCTTTCACCACTGTAGACCATGATGGACTCAATCTGATCAATGCATGGTAGAGTCTACTAAAGTTACATAGGGTTTAGGGTTGAAAGGGTTAAGGTGGGTCATATGTTAGAGTTAGAATATAGAAATGATATTTTTGTGTGATTTAAAATATTTCATACTTAGATCAAGTATTGTAACAGATTAAAAAGGCATATATTTTTTTCAAAATAGTTTCCTATAAACACTTTACCATATGAACCATTCCACGTCCTTATGAACTTAAACTGCATTCGCAGAATTTCAATAATGATGTTTTGTATTCATCAACATACATACAAAATATAGATTTTATATATAGCGTATGTATTTGATGGATATGTGCAAGTTCAAGCCTTCATCAGGTTGACAGATAAATGAACATTTAAAACAATTACAATTTAAATAAAAAAATAAAAATACTGTTTCCTAAATTTGAACATTAAAAATAAGTCTGCAACATTGACATCATTTTGTTTCAAAAACAAGAATAAGGATATATAAGTTCTATTAATATTTTGTGCCAAAAACTAGAAAATCAGTGCTCAAGGTTGTTATATTTTGGTTCCAAAACAAGAAAATAAGCAAGCATGGTGAATTTTGTTTCCAAAATCGAAAAAATCAGTGCGTGTACAAGGTTGGAATATTCTGTTTCCGAAACCAGAAAACTAGAGAGTCTTGCCACCAGGAGCTAAAGGACGAGATTGGTGCGTTCTGCCACAGAAGGAGACGATCGGCAATGCCGACACCAAACAGCAGATTGATACAAATGCTGGTACTTACATGGTTTCCTCGGGCGATGGGACGGCTTCGAAGGTTGCCCTGACCTGCTCGGGAGGCTGCGGTCGAACAGTGAGGGGTGCGTGGCAGACGGGCGTGCGGCCCGACAGGCTGTCCAGGATTGTAATATACACGAACACTGGAACACAAAAATGCCCAAGTCAATATTTGAACACCCTTCAGCCTGTACTGGAGAAAAAAATCTATACAAGGCCTGCACGTGAAAGTTTATGTTGGTAGCAGAACAGTGATTCCTATCTCTATGTAGACTGTACCGGCATACACCAGGAGACACAGGCACCTGTGTACAATCCTGGAGCCTCAGCCTTCATCCAATCTTAAGTCCTCAGCCTACTTCTAATATAATCTTAAGTCCTGATAACAGCCTATATCCAGTATAATCTTAGGTCCTTACAACAACCTATATCCAGTAACGTTAGGTCCTTACAACAACCTACATCCAGTATAATCTTAGGTCCTTACAACAACCTATATCCAGTAACGTTAGGTCCTTACAACAGCCTACATCCAGTATAATCTGTATACATCACAACAGCCTACATTCAGTAATGTTAGGTCCTCAAAACAGCCTACATCCAGTAATGTTAGGTCCTTACAAAGGCCTATATCCAGTATAATCTTAGGTCCTTACAACAACCTATATCCAGTAACGTTAGGTCCTTACAACAGCCTACATCCAGAATAATCTGTATACATCACATCAGCCTACATTCAGTAATGTTAGGTCCTTACAAAGGCCTATATCCAGTATAATGTTAGGTCCTGACAACAGCCTCTATCCAGTATAATGTTAGGTCCTGACAACAGCCTACATTTCAAAGTGGTCTCTTAACACAGGTGGTCTGTAAATACAGGTAAAGCTCCCAAAAGAAATCATTACTTTGGGTAATATTCAAAGTGGGCTCTAAACACAGGTCGTCTCTTAATAGAGGTGGGCACTTGAGCAGGTTCGACAACCATCCCAATGCCATGATTTCCAGACACCTCTTACAGCTAACTTTTTTGACATTTAACATATTAAGAGGGGATATATGATTTCATCATCAGTACAATCTTCTTGTACTGAAAGACTATATTGTATACTATAGTGTTTTATATATTGCTCATAATGTATGACTACATTACAATGTATAATTATCACATTCCCTTGTATCTAGATAGTTACTAGGATGTATGTTCTGTATAACAAGAGTCCCCAGACAAATGTTAAAGTTCAATCTTTTTCAGAAAAGATCTGTGTGTATATATATTGCCAATGACAGTGCATCATTGTTCACAAATTAACAGCCATGATAAATGACATTTTGTGGCTAGGTTTTACCAGAGGCAAATGTGCTTACCAAAATAATTAAGTCAGTCAGCTTCAACATCATAGGGGTCTATGTGGATCATTTAAAATTTGATTTATTCCCAATATCATACCACAAAAATTTCACACAATAAATAAAAGTTCAAATCACACTGAAATTTCCTACGCCACTAGATGTCAAAACCATAGATGCACCAAAATTCAGGTTCACGTGTCAAAAACGGAAATATGGCAACTATAATACAATGGAAATTGAAACAGTGAATTTTTATCTATACATGTACCTGATCGAGATACAAGTCTGTTCCCTATAGAGTTCAATATTATTTTAAAATCATTTAAAGAAGCAAAATGTTTATGAAAACTGTACGTATCAGACTATGTAAACTGATGAAATTGATGTTCTATGTATTGAGAAAAACTATTTTAAGGATAAAACAACAGGATACATTAATTAGTCGGAGTCGAGACACGTCACATCCGTCTCAAGTGAAATCTTCAAGACTGACTTTCAATAAGAACTCATGTCCAATCTTGTGCCTTCCATGGAATCCCATCAAATATCGAGTTTTGATATACTGTGATCAGGGGAAATGGTACGTCCAAACAGACAACCATTACTCCCCTAAGACAGCCTTTTGATCGGAATATATTTCTCTTGTAAGGAAGACTAAATTGTGGTTACTTAAAAAACATATTCAATCATAAAGACTGGAAGAATAACAGACAAAGACAAACACTTCAAACAGACATCTATGTCTCAAGTGAAAACAAGAGATAGCTTCAATTTCCTTCAAACGGAAGGACAGTCTGTCATAGCAGATGCTATAAGACCTAATACTCTATGTATCGTACTTGACAACTGGCTCTAGTACAATAGCTATAGAAGTTGAATGTGTATTGATATCTGACCTACATCGGGACTTCAGCCTAAATGAGGATTGAAAGACATTAGAAGCTCACTAGGGCTTCATGGTAAATATGTATGCAACTGATAAGCATTCATAAAGACATAAGCGCTGAATAATGCCGTTCAATACATATATTTCCATTCTTAATTCAATATTTTTTACATTGAAGTGACTGTGTTGTCAGTGCAAAGGAGACTCCTGGAACAGCCTAACCTCACCAAAATGTTTGCTTCTAATGGTTGGCTTACATTATGAAAGGCGAAAGGAGACACTTTAAAATGATGATATCAAATTGCATTCATAGCCCTATGAATGCAATTTCTTCTGGTAATGTGTATAGAGGAACTTGGTGCGGGAGAGTAAATATAGGTTGCTGTGGACAATGTACAGGTCTGGCCCCAAACAGGGGTAAACTAGACGCTTTAAAGTTATTGGGAGCTCCTCTGTAATCTTCAAATGACAAGGTATCAGCCTGACGATTGGTCAGGTATTTATAGCTGAAACCAATCAAATAGCTTACTGTGAGCCTTCAATTTTGTCATGACACATTAAAGGGGTGCAGAGAAGATATACGTGTACAATAGATGTTACTGTACACTATGTATGGTCTGGCTGGCCTACAACTTGTGTAATCTAGATATCACCATAGACAATGTATGACTTGAGTAATCTAGATATCACCATAGACAATGTATGACTTGAGTAATCTAGATATCACCATAGACAATGTATGGGTTGAGCCTGTCATCATGAAACGTACCCTTCATATGCCCAAACTCAGATTTTGTGCTCAAGCCCAATTTCTTTTTCTGGTGATAAATCAATGATATTTAAAAGTGTTTAATTGTCAAAGAATTGGAAGCATTTTGGACAATCATAAAACCAAATACTGTTTTCAATGTCTAAACTTGACTTTTTGACAAAGACATGATATAAACAAGTTACTTGTACAAAGAAGTTAGTACAGAGCACAGAATCTGTCGCTAATGAGCCCGAGAATAGTTTTGTGAATACAGGCCTACATATTAGACTGAGTACATTTCATAATTCAGGCAATGTGGTATGTGGCCTTCAATTGGAACACAATAGATGTGTTATATATATATAGACAATGTATGATCTGACTTGACTATATACTTAGGATTGGGTACATTCTGACATCAATCTTGCTTTAGAATAGCTTTCGTTATCAGGAAGTAAATTACTGATAAGATATTAATCTCACTTTGAATGTTTTGGTCTTTCATGTTACCTAGAAGTACTGAGCTGATGACATTCTCAATTTGATCATGTTCTTAGTGGACGTGTTGTATACATTTCTGACGTTCCTACTCCACAGTAAACATCAGCAGATGGTTTGATTGTAAATCTTGATCATTGATGACTATGATAACGGACTACACAGACCACTCTATAGCAAGTGTTCATCACTTGATCATCATCCTACATCCTTCTGTCCGCCATCACTATTGGGAGGTTTCTCATGAAAGCACAGGAAATCATTTCTTTCTTTCTAGTCATAAAAGGGTACTGAATACTGGGAAATTTTCCCCCGGCCATTTTTTTGTTTCCTTTTCCATTATGGTAATTTTACCCCAGTTCCTTTCACCATGCTTCACCATACCATGCCACACCGGGACCCTTCAAACTCTAGATGAATGCTCTACCAATTGAGCTACCTGGTTGCCAGCGAAACGCCCTTCAGTCCAGTTCTGCTTCACAATCAACCATGAACTTAAGACAGCTCACCCTACCTTGAATTTCAGTTTTAGTGCCGGAAAGTGTGGCAGACAAAGTGATGTCTCGATAGGGTTTCTTGTTATCCCTTTTATGACACTGTGATCTTCTTTTTTCCCCTGAAGACACATTTGAACTCATCCAATTCAAAGGTTGAAATAATAATTCATAACGAAATTTCAGGGGTGAATGAGTTATCTTACTGACATCATGACCTCAGTATGAATGTCATATAAACATTTGCTTTTATTTGCGAAAGTATTGTTGGTTGTTGTTAAATTTCCCTAACTGGACATAATTTAGTTGTATAGTCCACATGCATGGCTCCCCTCTATATGGCAATGCCTGAGACTGACGGAGAACGCAGCAGATGAAGGCGAGTTGACTGATCAAGATTAATATCATAATTAATCCATAGAAAACATCCCGAAAGGGTTTCTTATGTAAGAATCAATAGAAACTATCCTCAACTTAAAACAACAAATCAAATACCTCCACAGCTTAGAACATTACGGACATTATTTTACATCAATAGCAAATATTCTGTTAAAGAAATGAAACCTTAATGTGACACGTCTAGAAACCATAAGGAGTAACTATGGTATCAGAACCATCACTAATAAATGCCTATACCACTTTTCTGGACAGAACATTCCATCTCTTAACTACAACTTTCCAAATAATTTGAAGCAAAAAGTTCTGTATGCCGACTATAGCACAGGGGTTTTGCCGTCTCCATACATAAAAGTTCTATTATGGCTATTTATAGAGATATTTAGAGCATTCTGTATCACTGCAATTTTTTCCGAATTTCTCAGTGCTAGGGGCACTTGTTAAGTAGAGTATGGTTTGTCAATCAACAGTTCTTAACAGTATCCTTTTTTCACAAGCATTGTTTTCTCATGTACTTTTGGCTAAATTTTGTTAGTCCTATATTTTCCATTTAGAAACATTGGTCTTGTAAGACAAGAATGTCATTTTGACCCTGTGTTTTGTTTGACCTATAAATAGTAACCATGACCTTGGGGTTGACATTGTGACCTTGAAATACAAACTCATACAAAATATACTCATACTAACCTATGTATAAATTCTAATGAAAATCTGTTACGAAACAAAGTTGATAGAGACATAACAATTAATGAATCTGGATGTGATTGG